GGCTGGGCCTGCTAGCATGGGCTCACCTACCTTGTGTCAAACCCCAGCGTATTGGCTAGAGCTTGCAGACTTCTCCCCTCTGAGACCAGTGGGCAGCAGCACACGGTAAACACCCCTGCAAAGCCTGAAGGATAGAGGGTTTGCTGACTACAGGGCATCCACCAGAGCAGAACAGCAACAAACTAAGGGCATATTTATACACGTTAGAGGAGAACAACTTGTTCAGCAGCACTCTTCTGCTGCAAATTACATTTATGCAAGCAAAAATCTTGCAAAATCTGGCACAGACCCACTGTGGTTTAATGCAAAATAGCCTAAAAACAACCCCAACAAAACAAAAACAAACAAAAAAACAACAAACCCAGGAAACAACAAACCCGTTCATACCTATTAAAAAAAGAAACACCTTAAAATAGAGCAGGAAGTGAGAAAAATAGCAGTGCTGACATTTTCTTCCCCAGCCAGCTAGACAAGTAAACTGCTGGCATTGGGTTATGTATTTATTACCTGACAGCTCAGGTATCGGCCTGGCTTGCTTCAGGACCAAGCACTTGACACCACCGTGCTGTTAGGCCCTTCCCTCTGCACGTACAGCTGTGCTGTCAGCCCAAAACACACACCTGTCTGTAAAACGGGGGTCAGCTGTTTGCCAAACGGCTACTTGCAAATACCACCAAACCCGAGGTCTGTACCTGAGGAAGTTTAGCTTCATGCTGTTCTTTCCAAACAGCAGCACCGAGTACTTGGGGAGCACAAATAAATCTTGATTTTTGGTCACATCTGTCAGCAAGGGCTGTAACTGCCATCAGTGGAAAAGGCTGGAAGAAAAATGAACTGCAAAAAGACTCCAGCAAAAGGCCATACAGGTAATAAGAACAAAAACCTTACTAGGAGTCCTCATGCTGCTCCTGAGAAGCTTGTGGTAGTCTGTCATTAAATTTCAGCAGAAAATAGGACACTTCCCTCCCTCATTTAAGTTACTCTGAGAAGGGGAGACTCCCACTCCCTAGAGCTGGCCACCCAACACAGGGCACCCTGCTGCCACCACTGCCGAGAGCTGTGGGCACAATGCAGGGGATCAGCAGTGGTACAACCACAAACCCACGCCAGACCTTCATACATTTGTATGTTTATTATTTCAAAGTACAATATATACATAAGGTATAGTGATATCTTCAAAAACTTTATACAGAAACAAGTATCTACAAAATTAAATCAATAGACATTCTGTGTATATCCAGACAACATACATACAGATATTGGAAGATTCAACATAGTTTCAAGTTAGAACACGAAAAATGGGAAGGAAGTGGCCACCCACCTTGGAAGAGCTGTACCGCCCCCGCGGCCCCCGCCCTCTG